GATACTGCTTGACAAGGACTGAAATTTCGCACCGTACCGGAATTTCAAAATATGCTCGGTATGGTAACGTACTGTATACCGAGCAGTATATATATATATATATATATATATATATATATATATATATATAATTTTTTTTTTGCGACGTCGTAGAAAAAAAAATTTCGCTGAGGCGTTGCCTCTCTTCGCCCCGCAACGCCGATACTCTTCTCCTCGCGCACGGATGAGAAGTCGCCACAGACGAGGAGAGCGGTGCCGATCTCAGGTTTTCTTTTTTTTTTTGCCTATTTCTTTCTTCTCCTTCTGCCTCTTCTTTCACCTTCTCCCTCTTTCTTCTCTCTCGGTCACGGCTCCCTCTTTCTTCTCCCTTGGTCACCGTTGAATCCCCTCTTTCTTCTCCCTCGGTCACCGTTGACGATAACGGCCTCAATCGATGCTACTGCTCGGTAGCGGGTGGTCCGTGGATCGATTTGCTGATGGACCGGGCGGTATCATTCAGTATTGCAAACCTTGCTGCTTGGTATACCCTGGATTAGGCCATGTACAAGTTTATATTGGGTGGTTATCTTACCCAAGGGACGAGGCTACTAAACTAGCCGTTGGGTAGCCATTGAAGCCTTTGTGGGGTCTATAAAAAGCACCCACACACCCATTCTTCCCCCTCGCACACTTTCTCTCACTCCCGTTCTTTCTCACTTTCTCTTTCTCTCTAATCTCACTTAAAACTCACTTCATTGAAGATCATTAAGGGAGGTTGATTTCTGCAAGAAGAAGAATAAAAATCAAGATCTAGTCCATTTCCTCTAAAAATTAAAGTAAATTTCAAACTTAATCTCTAGGTTTTAAGTCTATGTTTATTCTGACATGCTTAGATTAATTTTTGAAGTCTAGACCTAATTTAGGAATTTATGCAATCTCCAGATTTGGTGGATCTAAGATAGATCCATGAGGATCAAACCTTGACACATCACGGTCCTAAGCCCATATAGGTACAAGTCCAAACATGTTACAGTGCATTTATTGTTTTATAATCTAAATTCAGTTTATATATATATCTAATCCAATTGTATATAACCAGAAAAGGCGAGAAAAAGCCCCTAAAATATGTTTTTTTCTTAACTTTTAACCTTTGTAGGAGATTTCTGAAATATGGTATGTATAGGAGTACACTGTTCTGGCTCGGTACAATGCCACTCCAGGCCAAGACTAGTATAGGACCAGTACACGAGATTAAAAATCTTGCATTAGAACTCGCTGATGTTGTGTGTTTGCAAATTAAACTAACTTCGGAAGCATAACTTTGCATTAACCAGATTATGTTCTTCTTTGGAACACGGGTTGTCTATTCCTTACCCCTATCCATGACCAATAAGATCCGTTACAAACCCTGCTGCCTTAAACTCGGAAGAGAGACCGAGAAAAGAACAAAAGAAACAGAACATCACTCCTCTTCAACGCCAAGAAACTCGATCAAGCCAGCATCATCAGGATTCACTTTCCACCCTCATTATACTACGTCCAACTTCTGACGAAACACAACATACACATCCATTTTCTCAAATTCAAAACCCAGAACCAAGAACCGAAACCTCACTACCCAAGAACCAAGAATTGAAACCTTATTTACCGACTAAACAAAGGAGAAAAAAAAGTAGAACACAGCATATTTTATCCTTTCTTGATGTCACCTTCGACTCGAACTACGAAACCCGGAGCGAAACCCCTCTTACTGACTACAAAAGGAAATTCATGTAATAGACCGATGTTTCCATGATCCGCTCCCCCCACTGAATCCTAAAAATAAAACACAAACATCACGGCATGCAGTTATTGCCGAAACCCTAAATCGAACAAAATATTGATAGACAGCATATCAGATTCCCGAGAAATGCTAAGAATACAAGCAGTCGAAACCCTAACGTGGGTCAGAAAGAGCTGCAAACCGGCAGGAGAGGGAGGGCCAAGAAAGGTTGTCGTTGGTGAACCAGTCGTAGATCAGAGGTATCCGACCCTTCCACTTCAGGTACCCCTCGTCCTCCTCCGTCAACAGCCGAGACGCCAACTTCTTCCTCCTCCCTTTTACCACCATTCCTCCCAGCTCAAGTCTTTCCCGCCCCACTGCGAATGCGAACCGAATTCAATCAGCTGTCCGAACGCCGAGGCCAAGCGGCCAAGTCAAAGGGGTGGAGCGGACTCCTCTGTCGCGTCCCTGCCGTTATGAGCCCGAAACGATATTTTAATGAGACGCGTGTAACGTTACAACGCAGTTCTCGTCCGAAACAAGTGATTGTAACGGTGTGTGGCCGTCCGTTAAGGACGATTTAACCGCCGAAACACAGTGACGTAATTGAGCTCCGAATCATCCACCAAAATGTCGGAGCAAATCTTTTCCTACCCGTCAATCTCGTCTACCTCGCGTGTGATTGGGGCTCACATGGGGCCCATTGTTTCTCGGACACACAGCAATAAGGTTTTTGAGTTACGACTGTCAAATTCGACGGTTTCGTTAGCTCCAACTCTAAATTCGATGAAATCGATATCGTTGTTTTGGAGTCGGGTCAGAATTAGATAAATCAACATTATATTTGTTTTGCTTATACTTGTCATCTTCTCTAATAGATTATGAGGGTTAATGTTCAAAATCACAATCCATATATGCCAAGTTTTAACTTGAACTATGTTGAAATTTAATGAGCCCCCCTTGTTTCTGTTGTACATTGGCTGGTATAATTATTATCACGAATCATAAATGCGATAGGGGAATCATTGGTAAGCTATTAATGTTGACAAGCGTCATCACAACAGCAGGAAGGTATAATACTATTAATTGCTATGACAGGTCAAGACAGGCAAATGATAGCAATTTAATCTCTAAGCTGCAAGTCAAAGCTACTGCCGGACCAGTTCTGGTTCCTCCATAATTGCATCAGAAACATATAGAAGAACAAATTAACATTGTAGATGAAACATCAAAGTCACACTTTGATGAAAGAAACCTCCAGTTCCACCTTCCTGAACTCACTAGGTTCTGAGACACACAAGCAGAGCCTTGTGGCAATGTTAAGTCAATGAATCAACCAAGAAATGAGATGCATCCACCCATGACATATCTTTCTAGCAACTTTACATTACAATATAGACACATATATGGTGGTGTTCATGGATCTCTTATCTATTGGGTTTGATTCCTTCATGACCTCATCAGAGTTGGATTCCATAGTCTATACCCACAGAAGATCTGCTAATGCTTCACCTTCAGAATGGAGATGTTACCATTTACTGGAAGAGCCACACTGTTACTGCACAATCCATGATACAAGAAGCTCTTCTTTTATCTGTCGGTTTCAGAAAGCCAAAAGATGATCATGCGAGGGGAATATTCATCATGATGTTATCTTTGTTCTTTACAGCTACGAAAAGATTGCCATATCCTTGCAGACAACAAACAAGTTCTTGTTCTCATGGAACGAAATCATGAGCCGAAGAGATAAGTTTCACGAGGCTGTCAGATTCACGGCCACTGATGTGCGTTAGGCTTGACGAACAATAATGCAAGAAGAAGAAGAAGAAGAAGAAGAAGCAGCAGCAGCTGCTCAAGGTAAATGGCAGAATGGAAGGCAGTACATGGCGAGGGGCACATGCCACATGCACTGGGGGCCTTCTTCAGTCATTGCAGTGGTAGTACAGTAAGAGAGAAGTGTGGATTCTTGCAATCATGCAGTCTGTGATGTAGGGACTTTGCTTGGCTGTCACCCTCTCTATCCAAGACAACTCGACCCACCCAAGATCTGGAGGAGCTCATCAGGGTAACACTTCCCTGGTCATCTCGTTCACTCAGAGAGATATCCAAGCGACCCGTGAAGAACATTATGAGGAGGAGACTCTTCTTGATCATTAATATGCCCACAAGCACAATCCTCAGATTACCACCAGCAAGATGACAAAGTGCTTCTCACCAGAGTCTCATTTGGATCATGATCACCATGTAGATTTGTCTCTGTTGATCCAGCTTGGCATATGGAGCATTTTTGTGATGATTTCTAGCTATCTATCCAATCTAAGGGGACTCCACAGCTCTTCTGTCCACACTTCTCTTGTAACTGGAAATGATGGATAAGAACAAGTCGAAGTGATGGTGACTCCACAGCTTCACCCCAAGATTGTGATGTAAAAGAGCAACCTCTGTGGGATAGTTCTGGGTGGCAATAATTCATCACCATCAATTAGCTGCCCATCGATTGATGCTCTCATTGCAAAGACTAGGATGTATCAGGCCAATAGACATGCATGGTGCAGAGGGGTTGTTGCCTTTCCCCTCTCTCCCCAAAGGAGTACATCTGAGCTGATGTTCTACCAACCAAGCAAACAAGAAGGAAATGAACGGCCTTTCGAGGCCATATGCTTAAAAAATGCAGGTTGGACTCCCACTGCCGTGTCCGTCAACGCAAGACAACATTCACAGCCCAGTCCTCCCAATTTGGAGCCATCCGAGCATTGCTCACTGCCCCCTTGGAGCTACTGTGATCAGTGGCACAGTACATGCCAACTTGGATAGATCCCCTGGCTGTTTACTTGGACCTCCGCCTTTCTTCCCCTTAAAGCACACTCTTTTAAGCTCATCAAGAGATCCCTTCCACTGGTCCCTAATATTTCTTTTTGTTACTTGTTACTGGTACAGGATCGAGAAAGCTTGCTTCTTGGTCACAGTTTTATCTTCTGGTGATGGGAAGAGCACTCCTACAGGGTTTCCTTCGACAGCCCCCGCTCCTTTTGTTCCCTCTCGGCCTACTACTACTCCCTATTGGTGTTTTTGGCTATAAGCTTTCATTCAACCAACACGCCTTCGGTTAGATTTGCCTCCTGTCGTCACCGTTCGTTTCCTGCTCCAGATGGGCGATTCCTTTCCACTGTCTTCTGGATTCTTTGGTTCTTCTGATGCCTGATTGATGGACTGGGCTTTGCTCCGGGAGGAGAGGTTGTAGCGGTGTGTGAAGGCTATTCGATCTTGGTTTGTAGGAATGAGACGCGGTAAGATGGGTCGGCGATGCGGGCTTTCTTGTCGGTGGATCATCTGCGTCGTGATGGTTGCTTCGGCGATCTATCGAGTGGAAGGTATCGGATTTTAGCGTGGAAATGTTCTCCTCATCTTCCTATTGAAATCTTAAGTCCATCACTAATTGGCTCGCCATTGAGACAATAACCCTGTTTGCTATTTATATGGACATGATAGAAGCAAAAGAAGAGATTTCTGCCTCATTTGGACACCAACTTAGTTGATTATGATTGTTGAGATCTTGTCACTATTCTGTTGAAACTCCTGCTTTCTAGTCCAACTAGTTTTTTGTGGCCTAAGGTTGAGGAATGTTGCTTCTTCTGGGAGATATTACATGTTGCAGTGTCTTGTGAATTGTCATGTTGTCTCTGTTCTAGCTAGTTGCTAATTGCATCCATCAAGGATAGTGGTTTACACCGGCACATAGAGGAGGAGGAGAAGTACCAGGATCTATGCTCCAAACGAAATTGTATAAGTAATCTATATCCTATCCTTTCAGTGGAATGATAATCTTGTTACCGAAATGCTGCAGTTGACCTTGTATTAGGAGATGATGTTGTATAGAATAGTGTTAGGTTCAACTCAGCACCATTTTGCTGCTCAGAATTTGCATATTTAGAACATCTTCCAAATTCTTTTCTCCAATGTTAGCTGTACAGGCACTGAGGTTGCATATAGCTGTCAATTCTTGTCTCACACTGTAATAATTTTTGAACCAGTTTAATTAGCATGATGTTAGAAGTTCTTTCTTAGTTTACACTTTTTTTGTGACAAGGAAAAGTATGGATTTATACAACAACCGTGACAATTGGGACACAAATATAAGTTTTTAGCCATTTTCGTAGAGTTCTAGGTGAACCTTATAGTGTTTGTTGGACAGCCTTACAGCGTAATATTCTCTTGTAAACTTCAACTGTTGTTGCATCATTCAGCATTGGAGAGTGCAATGTTCATTTTGATATTTATTTCCTTTGCCATGAGTTTTTGTCATTTACGATGCTGTGCATATAAAATTGAAGAATATGAAAAATTTAGCAACCAAAGTAGATGTTACAAAATGGCATATCATGTAAGTTGAATTTTCCACCTTCAGTGGATTTGCAGGGAGAAGTGAGCTACCATTTTCCATCATGTAATAAATCTGTTATAAGATAGCCATTAAGTTCAACCCAATTATAAACAGGTGGGTATCATTCTGTGGATTTCCCTGAGCATAACCATTTCATCACCAAACCCACTGAAATATGCATGTAAATTTCTGTTCTTTCCTTCAGTGAATGACAATCTTTTCTTGTTTTCTACTTCCTCAGTGAAATGGAGTCATAGAAATTCTTGCTGAAATGGAAGCATAGTTTTTGTATCGGAGGTGTACCTATATTAATCATCTTTCAGATTCTCCAAAGTCCAAACTACTATCATCAAGCTTCTTCTTGATTCCTTCAAACTTGAGTGCTTGTCATATTCATCATGCTTTATTCATTCACAAATTCATGCACACTGGTTGAATCTGACAAAGTAAAGTTCTTATAATACCTCTTATTGTAAAAAGTTTTTATATGCCATTTCTGGTCACGAAGCAGAAAGCAGAAATTTAGTGAAGTTAATGAAATCTGAAACAAAGATGGAAAAAAAAAAATTCTTACTGCAGGTTACTCACATTAAGAGTACTGCTAATGGTAATATTTTCATCCGTGCCAGGTTTCATGGAAATTTTAATGTTGAACTTTGCAAGCTGAATTGTTCTAGTAATACTTTGCAAAAACTCAGAAAAAACATATGATCTGATGCCAAAATTCAGTTGTTTGTTGTGCATTTTCCTTGCAGGGCTCAGTATGGTTCTATCAGAAGTTTCATCTGTCTATCCTGCACAGAATAAAGAGATAAATTCTGAGAGCACAACTGCACCTCGTTCGGCCTCTTTACCTAAAGGTAATCATGATTCGGTACCTAAGATTTCTTGATACCATATCAAATTTAATGCTTGAGTGTAGCTTCCTCATTGTTAGTGGCCTTTTCGCCTATAGATGGAGCTGTAACCCCAGGTGTCCTCCCAGTTATGCCATCTGTTTCATCTCCTGCTCCATCGGTTCATGTGACAACAGGACATAAGAGGCTGAGAGCTAGTGTTCCATC